GGATGGTGGCCAGGTTGTGCACTGGCTCTGCCCTTCACAGTGGGCGACTTGCGGGGGCACTGTTCTTTCTCGGCCTTCATGAGCCAGGTCTTGAAGTCGGGTGTGAAACAGGGTTTTGACCCTGTATTTTTCTCCACCCGCTGCCCACTGCTGCCCGGCTGTGGGGGGGGTCCTGGCTGGACCTGCAGTTGTCTGGGAGCCTCTCCCCTGTGGGACAGCGGGCACAGGGGGCTCCTGACTTCCCACGAGGAAGGACGGGCTCCCTGTCAGGACCCAGCGGGGCAGGGACAGGCAGGGACTGCAGCCTGGCAGGGGCCGCCCCTCTGCCCTCAGTCAGGGACAGGCCCGGCCCACTCCCAGGCTGCACAGAGGGGAGCGGCGCCCCTGCTCCATGTCCTGCGAGCGGGTCCCGTGGGGTCTGCTCTGAGCTCAGATCCAAGGAGGCCAAGGAGCCAGGTCGGGGGAGGACGTGGCCTGTGGGCCTGTGTCAGCTCCCCGCCCTCCGTGACCAGTTAGGTCCTGGTGGCGCCTGTGTTGATGGCAACAGAGGTGGGGGAGGGGAGCAGAGGTATTTGGGGCCGGAGATGGATGAGGGAGTAGAGCTGCTCCCTACCAGTGTTAGGGGCTCCCTCTGCCTTGGGGTGGCAGCTGCGCCTGGGTCTTGTTCAAGGCTGGTCAGGTAATTTCTGTAATGCTGCAGATTCAGAGATTGCATTTGGGACAGGTGTTAAGGGTGAGGATCCCGGCCGGAGCCGCCCCCGCCCCGGCAGTGGTCTGCATGCTGACAGCCCCTCCGATGCCCCGCTCGTGACGTCCTCAAATTGGCAGGTCTGGTGTTAGGGTTCAGCCGCACTGAGCTGACCTTCCACGGTTCCCATGTGAGTTTCTGAATGTCCAGCCTTGGAGATGGAATAAGGGAGGCTGGGGCTCTGCAGCTGGCAAGGCCTGAGCGTAGGACTAGGGAGGGTGTCAGACGAGACAGAACTCCCCTCTGAAAGCTCAAGTGATGGTGTTTTGGTGTAGGTCCGAAAATCGTGAGTCTCGTGAGAGACTCAACAAAGGAGAGCCAGCTGCCCCGGGACTCAGGACAGCAGGAAGCCTCAGGTGAGGAGATGAGAGCAGGTGGCATGTGGGCAGCAGGTGTGTGTCATGGCACAGGAAGGAACCGAGCCTGAAGGGACCCAGCTCTGGGCAGAGTGAGGGCCTAAACAGGAGCGGGACGGAACCCGGCAAACACGCCCACTTCCTGCCCTCATACCTTTGTGGGGACCTGTTGAAGGCAACCCCCGTAGCACTGAGGATCCCAGGGAACTCAGGCCCTAGGACTCAGCCTGCCAGGACCCAAGAAGGCAGCAAAGGATCTGGAGAGAGAGTTGGAGCTGGTGGGGCGCATAGGCTGGGCATTATCTTGCCCTTTCCCACAGGGGATGGAAATGACCACCTGAGCCATCCTGACCTTCTCGGGCCACACAGTCACTGTTGCCACACCTGAGGTTGCTGGTGCTTAGTGCCACCTCTGGCTCTCCTACACTCCCAGGGATGGTTGTGGCTGAGCTCTGAGAAGCTGGGATTCTCAGAATTGAGATTTTCAGCTAAGCTTTAGGAGACAGAAGATGGAGAATTTATTATTTTCCTGCAATAGCTGTGGGCAAGCATCAGACCTTAGCAGAAGGCAGTCATGAGGTTTGGCCTTGAACTTTGTGTTCCCTTCTGCAAATCCTCTCCCTGGTGCTAAAGAGAATCGTGAGACCATTAGCAGCCGGCTCCTGAGCTCTGAAAGCAGCCATTCATGTATGCCCTTTCGATGGCTCTGTAAACATCCACACGGCAGATCCCCTTCTGCTGGAGACCCAGGGAATGTTTTCTAATTTCCTGAGAGAATCCTAATACAGTACTTGGTACTGAAAATGGTTCCAGGAAGTATAACAGCAAGGATAGGAATTTAAGGGGCATTGTTAGGTGTGGTTTGATTTGAAGGCAATCAAAAAATGACCTCACTGCTAAGCAATTCCAAAACAGTGACTCCAGTGACTGCCTGTCATTATTAAAATCAGTTACCTAATGAAAGGAATCAGTGGCTTTGCAATAGAATGCTCTGGAGGGATAGCTAAGTAGGTACTGAATGCAATGGGATGTGTACAGAAATCAAAACCAAACCCAACAATCTCAAGTCTGAATTTTCAACTCCAGGGTATAATTCAGGAGCGAAGCTTCTACAACTGGCTTTAAGCGAATCTGATAGCTCCTGTATCAAAAGTCCAACCCAGAGTTGCTCCTGCAGGTGTCAGAATTAATTACAGCAGACCTTGACCTCGGGCCTCTTGAGGTGTTTCCATGAAAGGCTGCTAATTGGGAAGGAGGGTGACTGTGAAATTGTAGGGGTGGAAATGATCAAAGTATGTTATGTGCATGGACCCGTTATTCTGTATAACTAATGTGTGTTAACAAAAAATCCCAGGCTCTAGACCCCTACCTCTGGTTGGCTTATGCTGGATTGCAACAGGCCTCTTCCCCTGACCTCTGCTTCCTCACTCCTTCCAAGCCCTGCCCAAATGGCCAAGCTCTTCACCACCACCCACAAAGCTTACCACAGACCACCTTCTCCATAAGGGGGAGATAACCAAGGGCGCCATTCAAAGCTCTGCCCATAGAGAGAACTTCCCTCCTCACAACACAGAAGGCCAAGCCCATGTGGGTCCACTGTAGCGCAAGCCCTTTTGCATGGGCTCCTGCAGATGTGGGGCCGAGATAGTATCTCCTGTGTCAGCTGGCATAAGAGAGGCTTCTCCACAACCAGTGTCAGTGCCGTGACCCACCACGTTCCTACCCCTTAAACTGCTTGCAGCCCAACCTAAATTTCCATTCAAAGTGGACCACTGCTTGCTCCCTATGACAACCCTGTAGCACAGCAGGAGCTACTAAATCACAAGATCATCATTCTCTGTGAAAAAAGGCAGTTTGCTTCAAGTCCCTGGCCACCTACAGCCATCCTACCTGGCTCGCCAGACACTGTAGAAGGTCCAATGCCACCACGGCAGCATGGACAGGCAGACACTAGGATTCACTGGAAGGAAGACACAGCAGGCGTGCAGCGGGCACCAACCCTGCTGTGCACCAGTGGTATGCAAATGCCACACCAGTATCCATGGAGAGAGTAGCTCCATCCCTGCAATGCTTGACATGTGTATTGGATGGGAGACGACAAGGAACAGCTTTGAAACCCTAGCAGAGGCGGCCTCCTGATTCAGGAAAGGGGAGCATCAGGAAGGCACTTAGGGACCCAGCACAAGTGTTTGCCTCTCTTTCACTGAGCTAACCTGGTCACCAAAGAGGAAGAAATGAGCCTTTAGAGCAATCTAACATTTTTGTCCTCACACAGAGGCCTTTGTGCCATTTGATCACGTGACTGAATTGGCATTGTGACTTGTTCTGCAGTCCGGGCTCTGGGCAGAGCCCTCTCTTACCTTGAGCCCTGTCCCCACTGGAAACACCACCAGGCATCTCAAAGGAGTCGGAGCACTGCTTTCCAGTCATCCTATGCTGTCTACACAATCCGAAAAGGACCCACCAGGGCCACGTCTCTCTCAGAGTGACAGCAGGTGTATAGGGTGACAATTTGTCCTTTACTTTAAAGGGGACATTCTGGGGATGTCCAGAGCTTTTGGTCCCTGAAATCTTCACCAGTGCATTAGCACCCCAGTTCTTGCAGACTCACCTTTAGTCCTCTGGAGTATGTGTCTTAGCAGGGTACGTAAGGAACTTAACACTTCTTCCTCCCCAAGCATGAGGAGCATTATACAGCACAGTGGACCAAAATGACACTGCGTTGTCACAGACAGCAGGAGAGGTGTCGGTCTGTGCATGTGCTGGTCAGTGGGCATGGACCGTCATCATCTTTCTTGGAGGAAATCCTGCATTTCCCGAACCATCTCTGCATCCTGAGTGCCACACTGTGTGCTGCAGTGAGGACAGGACCTGGGGCCTCTGTTGGGGCTACCACGTGACAAAGAGCACCCCAGGACATCCTCGTTTGCTGTGTGGGGTTCACACCAGTGAACTGAGTTGGGATCAGATGGAGTCACCACCTCCTACAACTTTAGGTTTCTGCGGGTGGAACTGACCCTGGCGATTTCACCACTGTCTTCGTTACCCAGCGTGCTGGCTGCTGTGGTGTGATGCTCACTTTCCTCCTTCAGAAACATCTTCTCAGCCATCAACTCTCTCCGAGTATTGCCCCAGATGAATGGTACCCATTCCGTCTCCCAAAGTGGTCATGGCTCCCTCCAAGGAAAAGCCTAATTTTGATGACTGACCAAGGCTGGGCCATGTCAGAGTAGAGGCCCTCGCCCTAATGCGGGACAACTCTGGAAGGCCAGCCTGAGCGAGGCCCTGGAAGAGGCCGTGTCACAAGCGCCATCTCTGTCGTCTGATCTCGCTTCCCCCTCCCCACATGTTCATCCCAAGGGCACACCCCCATTTCACCTCCCGAGTAATCTGATTCTCAGGAAACCCAAGCCGGCAGCTATCTTGGCCACTGGACAGCGGTCCTTATTCAGACCTCCATGTATGTAGAGAGAGCAGATATTGCTGCCTCTCCAGCCACCTTATTAGGCCATTCTTGGATCTATGAAGAAAAGGGAAGAAGCCAGCCGTGGTGGAGCATGTCTGTAATCCCAGCACTCGGGAGGCTGAGGCAGGAGGGTCACTGTGAGTTTGAGACCAGCCTAGGCTACATGGAGAGTTCCGGGGCAGTCTCAACTACAGAGTGAGACCCTGTCTCAAAACAAACAAACAAAAACAAAACAAAGAAAAGAGAGGGAAGGAAATCTAAATCCAGAATCATAATCTCCCACTTCAAGTTCTACTCTGGGCACAGGCCAGGGTCTAGCCCTGCCACAGCCTCTCCTTCATGCATGGCCCGGGGCTCTAAAGCATCTGCACTGCAGGGTAGGGCAACTGCCTGCATGCAGGTCTGTGCTGGGCACTGGTAGGTTAAGAGAAGGGTCACAAGAACACCAGAGTGATGTGGCCCTTAACACTCCTTTGGGCGAGTCTCCGTGCTCATGGACAAAGAACCCAAGGAGATCTTCCGTTCAGCACTTTCCTGAGCCTCCCTTGGGCATCCTTGTTGGGGTTTAAGGCTCTCCCTTGGTTTCCAGATGCCGATGCACCCCTTTCTAGTCCTATGTGGATATTCCTTCTTTGGGCTGCAGGTTGGGGAGAACTGAGCCTCTGGCTTCCTGAGTCTAGTGTGGACTGATGCTCCTCGATGCTGTGACCAGATGGGAGAGAACACGGATGGGAAAGGAGAAGGAAAAGGAGGCTCTGACACGTTACAACTCCATTTATCAAGTGAGCATGGCAGCGAGCAGCACCTGAAACCCCAGGCCCAGCGCTAGAAGGTATGGGGGGCCACAAGTCAGCGAGTTCTTGAAGCCTCCCAACAGGGTATAGGCTCTGCCTTCCTTCTGTGTCACTTCCTGGATCCACGGAATAAACTGAGCCACAGACACAAACATGCCAGGCCTCCCCCGGGAACCGGAGCTCAGGCCCCAGCTGAAGATGCCTACCTGGAAGAGCCTGTGGGTGCCTCGGTTAGCACACACCATGGGCGCCCCACTGTCTCCCTGGGAAGGAGAAAAGAAGCAACAGTCTGTGAGATGCCTAGGGGGCCTCCAGCTAGCGGAGGGATGGCGCACATGTGAAGGAAAGGGTCCCTGTGGGGCTGAGTACCTGGCAGTTACCATTGGTGTCCAGTTCCTGCCAGGCACAGAGCATCTTACTGGACAGCTGCTCCACCCTCGCCGAACATGCTTTCCAGCTGATCTGGGTCACTCTTAGCTTCTGGAGCTGCATGTTCCAGCCACTAGATGTCCCTGAGCAAAGGAGGAAGGCAGCATGAGAGGGTCGTGGCAGCCCTCCAGGGTCACCTTCCGAGGTCCCACTCAGAAGTCCCAGCAGGTGGTTCCTTGCTTAGTGTCTCAATGTGGAGTGCTCCATGCCTCCAGGAGCAACCCACAGAAGGCACCACCCAGCCCTTGCCAGGGAACTGGGAGGAGCTTCCTGCATGTCCCTGACCCCCTGCAGCCAAGCATTGGCCTGAGCAGAGTGGAGAAGGACTCGATCTTAGAATCAAGGTGTCCAGGACCCCTACCAAGCTAAGTGGAAAACCCAGAAGAGGACCTGGCTGGGCTCTCGGCCTTGGTTGGCCCCATCCCACTCCTTCCCTCCCAACCTGGTGTCCCACAGGGATGGGGTGGAGTCATTAGTTCCTGTGGCCCAGAGACCACTGGCTGCAGTTTTCCCAAGATGAAGGGCTACGTCATGTGCTCAGCGCAGGGGGAATGGACATTATCAGACATTCCCTGAATGGAGGATCCAAAGAGTTTTATAGAGGATCCATAAAAATTATCATTGCTGTCCTGTTTTAAGATTTTTCTATGTATCAGGCTTTTTTATTATAGTTTGTTTTTTTGGTTTTTTTTCCAGTAATGGGTATTAAACTTAGGCCTTTGCAGTAAGCTATACTCCTAGCCCTTTTATTTTATTTTGTTTATCTATTTGGTACGGGGATAGAACTAGCCCTTTTAAAAAAAATGTTTTTTCTTGCCAGGCTTGGTGGTGCACACCTGTAATCCAGCACTTGGGAGGTTGAGGCAGGAGGATTGCTGTGAGTTCAAGGCCAACCTGGGCTATATAGCTAGTTCAGGGCCAGCCTGAACTATGAAGGGAGACCTTGCCTCAAAACAACAACAACAAAAAATGTTTTTTCTTAGGTTTAAGACAGAGTCTCACTACATTATTAAGTTGCCCAGGCTGGACTTGAATTTGTGATCCTTCTGCTCAGCCTTATCTGTCCTAAGCTTTTAATGGGGCTCTTCTTTGTATAATCCCATTAATTTAAACTACATGGCTTACTTGAAAAAGACATTACTATCATTATACAGACGAGAAAAGGTGAAGGACAAGGTGAAGAGCCAAGTATGGTGGTGCGCACTTCTCTTTTCCCAGCTCTCTAGGACGCTGAGGCAGGATGGCAAATTCAAGCCCCGCCTGGGCAATTTAGCAATTTACTGAGACCCTGTCTCAAAATAAATAGATAGATAGATAGATAGATAGATAGATAGATCTAGAGACGTAACTTAGTGTAAAGGTCCTGGACTCAATCCCCAGGACTAACAACAACAAAAGGTGGTGAAAGATCTTGTTCCAAATTCAGATCCAAGTCTACCCTCATCCAAAGCATCATGCTGCCTATCCCAGGGCAACCTAACTATGGACCTGTCTGGGCTCTGGAGGGAGACACATACCGTACCCGAAAGCTGAAACCCACTCTGCCATCCAACAGCGGTCCCAGGACACCTCCTTCCCGGGCAGGCAGACAGGCATTTTGGAGCTAGTGAATTGCACTGGTGTGGCCAGCAGGAGCAGGGCGAGGTCACTGTCCAGGTGTGGGGACTGGTAATCTTGGTGAATAATGATCTTCTGCACTTGTTTTCTCTCCAAGCGGATGTCGCCGAATGCTTTGGCTCCCATGACCACAGTGACATTTACTGCTGCCATTTCAAATCTGAAGAATGAATATTAAAAACTTCAGGGCAAACAATAGTCCTGGGGTATGGAACATTTGTAGGCTCATTCACAACATGTAGAATTTACAACTCTAAACACCGAGAAATCCAGCGTAGCGGGTGTGCCCTGGTGGCCTTGGGAGTGGCTAGACATCATGTAAGTAGGGGTTGGGGCTCAGACAAATCTCTGAGCTGGAGACCCATGAGCCCAGGCAACCCCTGCCAATGAAATGGAATGGATCCAGGAGTTCCTTGGAGACCAAGTGTGTGGCTGTCTTATCAACTGCTGAGTCTCGGGCACCCGGAACAGTGCACAGTGGATGCTCAGTGAGTGTGGGCACAGTGAAAGATCCGTGGGTTTCCTTTGTATCGGAAGGCAGGGGGAGAAGGGAAGCCCTGCTGATGCTCCAGCCTAGCGTCCCACCTCTGCACGTTCAGAGGAGGGGAAGAGGACAGAGTGGGTATGGAGCAGAGACTTTGGGCCCAACGCAACTGAAACACACCAGGTACAGAACCAATGGCCTCAGAAGCCTCGTGCACCAATGCACTGAACAACAGCCCAGACAACACACAGATGAGACGCGGTACAAATGAAAACAATGGCCCAGGCACTTACAGGGTCTTTGGGAAGCAATGTGCCGCTGTCAGGACCCACCACCGATGTATGATGGAGCCTCCACAGAGGTGCCTCTGGGACATCTGGATACTCACTTGCCAGGGGAACTCACCATCCTGGACTTCCAGCAGCTCGCGGAATGGCAACCACGACGAGTTGGGAAAGGCCGGTCTGCAGCCACACCGAACTGATTCTGAAAGAGAACAGAAGGAGCCACGGGCACATGAGCCTCACAGAGAAAGCCTTGCTCATCCCATGTTCCCACACCTTCCCGGCTAAGGCCAGCACAGAGCCCTGTGAGGTCGTGAGTGGACCAAGGGGACAGAGTCCCAAAGCCCTGGTAAGTCCCACTCCCTTTAGCATCTGTTCCTCACTTCCAAAAAGAGCTGAGACCCAGGAAGGCAGGCAGAGCTCTGCCAGAGGGCGTGTACTGCTGGGTGGCGATGGTCCAGGGGCCATCAGGAGCCAGGAACCATGCAGTAATCTGGCCAGGGGAAAATTGCTATGAACAATCACTAACTATAACTGGAAGTAGCTATGAAGAGTCGAGCCCTCTAATCTCACAGGGCTGGAGGGAAAGGGGCTAGGAAGGCAGGGGTCCTTCCCACCTCTAGTTCTCAAACTCAGTGGAGAGCTCTATTTCCAATGCACTGGAGACAGAAAAGTCTGCTGGCTCCCCCAGGCGAGAGCCCATGTGGAGGATGACGAAAGGAGGAGGCAGCTCACACCAGCTTTGACTGGGTGACGCTTGACAGATTTGCAGATGCCCCTGACAGCACGAGACCACCCAGAGGCCAGGAGGGTGGAGTGTCGCTCACGAGCACTGTGGAGTCTGGTCAGGCGGCAGCCCAGGGCAGCAGTGGCTTCAGGTCTCAGTGCCACAGGCTTTCCCTCGGCTCCCACCAGTAGATGCTGGGTGCAACCTCGTGAGTACACGGAACAGGCGGGCCTAGAGGGCTCAGGCTCTGCTCGTTTGGACTGTGTTTAAAACAACCGGATGTGTAAATGGTGAGTTTGGCAATACAGGTTTTTTGACTAAGAGGAGTCAACTTGCTGCAAAAGAATAAACAACTGAGGGGCTGATAAAGGCCGCATTGGCTTGTTTATATAGCAGGGGTCACTGGACAGGGGACAGGGCTTGAGCTTACTGAGGGATGTGTGGCTGGAACTGAGCACCACCAGATGTTCCCCCATGCACACATACTCCTGGCCACCACGCCATAGGAGCAGGAGGCCGAGGAGATGCCCCTTCCTCCCACACTCACACGGACAAAGCTCAGTGCGCCAGCTGCGAAGAATGCTGAGTCCAGAGCAGGTGGTACAGGGAGGACCTGGACCTGAAGTGCTACACTGGGGGCTCCAATATGCCAGTGTCTAAAGAAGCTGTGTAGAGGGTGGGGAGACTGGGGTGGGCACAGATGATATGCAAAATAGACAGGGCCCAATCTCCAGCAAAGAGATTCCTGGAAGAATCTTGAAAATGATCAGGATGACGGGGGATCGCAGTCCAGCCTCCAGGGGCAGAGAGGACACCAGGCTGATGTAGAAAGGGACAAGTGACAGTAGGTGTCTACTAGATTGTGTGTGGCAAGACAGATATGCTGCAACCGGCCCTGAGTTAAAAAAAATGAAAATCAGGCAAAATTACTACGACAAAAAAATGTACAAAATAAACATGGATATTGCGTTTGTTTTGATAATTACTAGCAGAAAGACAGGTGAGAGCTATTTCACTCAAGGATGTTTCAGAAAACATGGAACATTATAAAGTAAAAGCTCCTCAGAGGAAAGACTGAAATGAAAAGGAATAGACAGAAACAAAGGAAAAATAACTGAAAATGCAGATCGAGGGATTATGCAGCTGCACCCTCCTTCTCTGGAGGCTGAGGACAAGTGTGGGCTCTAATGTCCCCTGCACCAGAGTGGGATGTGCAGTTGCTGGGCCAAGGCGGAGGAAGAGAAAAAAATGCACAGTGGGGCCGGTGACAGGAGCGTCCTGAGCGCTGGGCACACGCGGAGGGCCGGACCCCAGGTGCCGCAGTGGTAACCGCCAGTGGCTTCGAAGCCTAGTGGTGAGGATGAATGGGATGTCGCCAAGCTGCGTGTGGGGCACTAGACAGGAACGTCGCATTCTCAGGAGCTGCTGAGCACCCTGGGTGATGAGACTGTCGGGCGCAGAAGCTGCACCACACGCTTGTGACCACACTCACGCAGTTTGGGCGCAGGTGCCACACTGGGCATTCCGGATGAGGCCAGCGGGGTGAGGAATGCGGGTGTCTGCGGTGTTTGTTAACCTTAGCAGTGTTCCAGGGCTCACTGCTGACAGAGGTTTATCTCCTGTGTTGCTCACAGAGTTGTCTGGTTTATTAATTTTATTGGTGCATTTAACATATACAGTATAATGACACTCATTGTTGGAAATTTGTTCCTTTACATAATCAATCTTGGCTCTTATTTTTTCCCCATTCCCTGAAAAGAAAAAGAAAATTTGGAGGAGAGGCCACAAATAGCAATAAGCTGCTAGATTCAAACCCAAATATCAGTAATAAATTAATGAAATGGATTTAAAAACAAAACTATATGATATGCTTGCTCTTTATGAAGATATAGAAAAGTTAGAAGTGTTTTGATGGGTAAAACATACCACTCAAGCAGAGCCTTGTTTTCACTCTACCTAACCTGTGCACATGGAAAATAAAATATATGTAAGGGTAGGAAATAAAGAAACAAAACTGTCAGAGATAGGAGGATAACAAGTTCAAACCTACTGTGAGAAACTTAGTGAGATGAGATCCTGTCTCAAACTAAAAAAAAAAAAAAAAAAAATTAAGAAATACAAAGGGCTGAGGCTATAACTCAGTGCAAAAGCCCTGTGTTTAATCCCCAGGACCACAAAAACAAATAAATAAACAAGCTCATTATTCACAGATGACTCGATTGTGAATACAGAAAATCCAAAGGAAAATGTATATATCAAACACTACAATGAACAGATAAATTTAGCAAGTTTGTCAAAGATTAATATAAAAAATCTATATTCTAACATCAAATAAATATAAAAATAAAATGTAAAAATAATATCATTTACATTAGCTTCAATATCACAATATATCTGGAAATAAAAGTAAACAAATATGTGCAAAATCTTTACTCAAAAAATTTAACTCTATATCTTACTGAGATAAATATGTAATGGTATAACACGTCCATAAATGAGAACACTCGATCTTGTAAAGATATAAAACCTCCCCAGTTGTCCTGTTCACTAAATGCAATCCCCATCAGAACCACAGTTTTGTCTGTAGAACTTGACAAACTGATTCTGAAATTAGAAATGCAATTGACTGAGAATAGCCAACAGGTTAATGAGCAATGGCAACCGAAGGACCTACCACAACTTCTAGGAATCTAGGCACATTAAAAGACAGGGTACGAAACACCAAAATCAGTACATATGGTTTACCAATGAAACCTGCGGAGTCTAGAACCAGCCTGGCCTAAAGAGAGGGACCTCCCACCAAACGGTCAGGCAGAAGGGACACTGGTCCAGGACAGGGAGCCCAGACCAGCTGCACATCCATATGGAAGAAAATTGATGTTTTAATTTCACGACACAGTAACTACACGTCTACAAGGCACAGTGTGACACTTCACTATATGCACAGAGTGTGTGGTAATCAGGTCAGAGAAATGGCATCGTCACCTCATCATTTTTGTCTTTAGAACCTTGAGCTCTTCCAGTCCTTCATGAAATAGATAACAGATTGTTGTAGACCCGGTCCCTCCTGTGCTGTAGAACACCAGACTGCATTCCTGCTATCTACCTGTACTTTGTCACCTATCATCCAGCCTCTAGGTTCCCTTCCCTGACCTTTCCAGCCTCCAGGGGTCCCCGTTCTTCTCTCACCTTAGAAATCAACTCAGCGTCTGTCTGTGAGCATGCACATTTGGTGTGTGCCTTTCTGTGTCTGATTCATTTCACTTAATGTGCCCCAGTTCCCTCTGTTTTGCCACAAACGACTTGGTCCTTAGCTTACACTGTATAAGAAATTGAGACCCAATGGATTGTAGGCATAAATGTGATAGACAGAAGAAATAAAATTTATGGAAAATATCTTTTCCAACTCAGGGTTGGAAATGTCAATTTAGGAAGTGAAATTCTAAAAGTTCTGCAATGATAACAGCAAGTTTTGAGTATTTACCATGCCAGGCACAGTTCTCGGAGCTTTATGTATGCTTGATCCTCACAAACCCCGGGATGGCCGTTTTACAGAAGAGGGAGACAAGTACAGAGGCAGGAAATGACTCATCTTAAGATCACATAGCAAGCACACGGAAGAGATGTAATGAGGACACAGACAGGCTAACTTCAGAGTCCAAGCTGTCTCCCTTTCAGTAGATCTGATTATGTTCATTATCTCAAAGTGGAAAAGGAAAAGCCCTTCAATGTATCAAAAGCCTAGAAACACAAGTAAAAATACTGGTACTTTTGTTACACAAGCTTTCAGTCTCAGTTTGATCCAAAAATAAAGTTGGAAGAGCATAAAGACTCAGGAGAAAATATTTTATGACACATAAAAGAGACAAAGGGCTAATGTTAATTACAGTTCAAAATGGTCCTGCACATCAACTTCTAAAACTCATCTGAGTAACAAAAACTATAGGAACAGGTCACGCTTCAAAAAATAAACAGAAAAAGTTTCAAATGGGCTGGGGATGGCTAGACAGCACAGTGGATCTAAGGACGAGTGTGGTGTGCTCTTGTGGTCAGCCACATTTCCAAAACACCATATTAAATGATGTGAGAGTGCTTTGTGTATTTAGCCACTGCGCTCCTACGGGAAGGGTACAGGACAGCCCTGTTTCCCCCACCTGCTGCCTATTCCAGGGCGTTGTGAAGAGTGGAGCTGGAGAGGCACCTCTGCTCATTCAGCTGCACTCCAGTCAATGCCCTGAGTCCCCTGTGCTTCCAGAACTGTGTGCCCAGACCTCTGGGCGCTTCAGGAGGGTTCATCACAGCCCCGCACATCCACCTGAGTCACCAGTTACATCCTTACTTCCCAACCCTTGGCTCTAACTCAGCACCCCGGCTCTACAGGAGCCAGAGACAAGGTAGCACTTCTCTCCCTGCCCTCTGCTGCCCATTGGCCTGGCACCCACCTGGCTCATCTTGGCACTGACCCTCAAGTGCCATGAGAAGTACAATTAGAAGCGAGAACATCTTGTCTCTCCAGAATTGCCCAACTTCACTTCCAGCCTACGCAGACACCATGACAGTGGCCACTGACCTGGTGGGCATCACAAGTGCATGGCACAGCTGGGCCCTGATGACATCACAGTGAGCCCTGGGGCCAGCAGAGGGGGATGCAGAGATCCGCCCACTCCCCCGAATCTTTCCCTTTCTAAAGTCCCCTCCGCAGCAGTGGAGGAAGGGCTGTGTCAGGCCAATGTTTGTCTGTGTGGTCCCCTCCCAGCCTTGACCCCCACCAAGTTTTTCTGTCTGTTCTTTGGATTTTGTTTGCTTGTTTGTTTGTTTGTTTGGTACCGGGGATTGAACTCGGGTCTTTGCACTTGCAAGGCAGGCCACCAAACCGCTGAGCTAAATCCCCGGCCCTTTCCTTTTTTTTTTATTGAGTTTATTGGTACAATCTAGGTATACAATACATTTGCATTCATCGTTGGGATTCTGTACCTTTACATAATAGGTCTTGATTCTCATTTTTTTCCCCTTGTCCCTGCCCTCCCTTCACCCCCTCCTCGCCTCCCCATTTACAAACACTTTGTTTCCATTTTTCGTTTCTCATATTTTTTTCCTCTCCCTTATTACCTTTCCCTCACCCTTCCCACTTGTCCTACACCTTTAGCCCTTTACTTCCTATTTCACATTATTAATTATCTCATTAGGATCCTGTGTACTATTATAGTTTTCACACCAAAGAAAGTATTCAATATTTCAATTAAAGAAATCTCTGTATGAACATTAAAAATAGGGAATCCTAAAATAAAACTAAAAAGAAAAGTAAAAGAGAAAAGGCAATGATGTAACATTAAAATAATCCTTAATTCTGGAGATGAAAATGGTCCCTGAACATATTTAAATTGCTTCTTGCTCTTATAGTCTTGTCTTATTCTTTTTTTCATTATTTAGAGAATACTTTATTAGTTTCTGTAATCAAACCCATGTAGATATGACCTTACATGTTTAGTACGATGTGTTACCCCTGAACACATGGAAAAAAAATAAAAATAAAAATAAATTAACATTTCTAGACCAATATGGCTGTCCATTTCTGTACAATGCCAACTCAACACAGTAAATTGGGATGACTTTTTCCAAAGTTGGCAGCACCATTAAAGTTTCCCAAAATTCAATTTATATATATATATGTATATATATATATATATACATATATTTATTTATATAAAAAGACTAATAATAGTATGTTATACATCGATACCAGCAACAGCTTTTCCAGGTTCTGCAGTCATCTGAACAAAATTATAGACATTCATTCCATTAAAAAACAAAACAAAACAACAACAACAAAAAAAGAAAAAGAAAAGAATAATATCCAGAAAACAGCAAAGTTCTGTTGCTATTGTGGTACCTGGGAT